GTAGGGAAAAAATAAATCGACAGTGGCTTATATAACCAGCTTCACAACCCAATCACAAAAATGACTCACGTTTCAAACCAGTGCAAACTTCCATTATTTGCCTTCCGGAGCAAACAATGTGCTGAGTGTAACAGTATAGAACAAAAAATACCTGCAATAACAAAGAACCAAAGAGCAATTCCAGTCAGCATCAACGTATTTGTTAAGGTATGTCAAGCACAATTCATCCGTAACAGAACCAGTAACTTGGTAAGTAATTGACAACAGAAGAGGTGAGAAAAGTAAGTTAAAAGAACTCCAGATAGAAATCCCACAAGTAAAATTGAAGCATGCATTTCTAGTCAGCACACCTCTTCAGGATTAACAGAAGATTCAATCCCTGGCCTTTTGAGACACTGAGAAACATTCAAAGCAAATCAAGAAATGAAAGGATAGTAGAATGTCCAGTCCATCTTGCAAAACCCAAGATATCAAGGATGGCTTTCAAGAACAAGACCCTATTAGTAGACATGAATCATCAATGCCCAAATTAATTCCATCAATTCAGTACCTAGCTGCCGTTTGATTCTCCATAAACTGTATGCATCCCTACCTCAAATCTTAAAATGTATCTTACCATCAATCCAAGGTTGATAAAATGACCCTGACCCAAGGTCAGAGGATCATTCTCATTTTTCACCTGGCTCTGATTAAACCAAATGGTCTCCAAGGACAAGGTTTTACCCAAAGCATGAAAATCACAGCATATCACTTATGATTTAAGACTAAGACCCTCATTTTTGAGGAAAGAAAACAGGAAGTAAATTCAAGAGTTTTTGTCACAAATGGAAAGTCAATTCTGCTTCCAAACAACATAATACCGGTTCAGTTGTTGCCATTTTTTTTGCTGATGATATCATAGACACTTCTCTTTACTCTAAATTGCTATATATTAAGGAGATGCTACCCCAACATTATCACATTCCTCTCCTGAACTTTTACTTTAGTTTCTTATAATGTCATGAATTCAGCTCTGTAGACAGATCAAGGTTCATTTTGCAAGCACATGTATTGCTATAAATCCCATTTCCCAAGGCATGCTAACTAAAACTCCCATTCCTGTTAACATTTACCACTTCTTCATATAGATATTCCGAAAGAAATCAGATCAGAATACCACGTTCATTATTCTCAAAAGCAAAATGAAATTGTGTTTAGCATGCTATTGTTTAAGCCTATAACTAAACCATGTTAAAAAAGGAAGTCCAGTATCTCAAATCGTGTAAAGATGGAATTATCTCCTTTAGGAAGTAAAGTAACAGAAATAGACATACCTATCTCGACTTGTAGCCATGTAGTTTCTGCAAAATGAAGAAATGAAAATTGAAGCATTTGCCCTATGCCCCTAAACATTATCCAACTATCAACAAAAAAATCAAACTTGCTCCAGCATATCATGAAGTTTTGGAACCCTTCGACGAAACAATGGCTCTAGCCTGAAAGATGGAACACCAATCTCCCACCTCTTCGCATCATACATTTCATTCCATGCCTGTACAATCTCGTCAACTTTGAATCCCAAACCTGCAACAATAGAAGAGTGTTAGCATTAATATACATTTTAAACTTCTCCGTGGTTAACATATAAAGTACTATAAAAAAGAAACATTATTGTGCAGTCTTTGTTTGTTACCTTCAAGTGCGGTTGAATTTGAACAATGGTTCTTTATCATAACAGCTATATCTGTTGGAGAAGCTCCAGCAAGTTCAAACTTCTCTACTGAAACCTCTAAACATTCTTCCCAAGTCGGTAGCTCTAGCTTATATTCCACAACAGATCGCTCGTACAGCATGGTACCCCATAAGAGGTATATCTGTGAACTCATGTTAGATGCTTGCTCTGCAGCTTCTTCAGGGGATGGATCTCTCAATAGCCCATCCAAATCCATTTTCTGCAACTGGTCTTTATATTTGTCAAGTTTGGATAGTCCATTTAGACGCTGCTCTTCCATCTCTTCCCACATTTGCATACCCCTCTCCATGCTGTCCTCAGCCTTGTTATAAAGATCCAGGACCTCCTCACAAGGCCCGCTTTCCAAATCAATCTTGCTCCCGATTGCATGGTACCAGCAAAGCTTTGCTTGCTCAAACTGCTGCTGGCCAAGAGCAAGAAGGCCTTCATAGAAGTCAGGTTTGATCCTCAAAGCTTCCTGGTATCTCGTTCCTGCTTTCATATATTCTTTCTTAGCCCACTCGTATGCAATCTTAACCTGTGCAAGTACAGACTCCCTTGACCCATCTTCTGAAAAGAAAATCCGTTTCCTTGCCCTTGACATGTGAACATTTCCCCAATTGAACAAAGCCAAAGCTGCCATCTCTTGGAACTTATCTGCAGCAATATCAAAAAGCTCCTGGGCTTCTTCACTAGTAACAGCATCCTCCATTGCCTCTGAGTATAACTTCATCCCCAGTTCATGAAGATCCAAGAATGAATCAGAATCAAACCCAACATGGTTCTTAAACAATCGTGCAAATTGGACAATCCAATCATCAATACGATTTGAACCTTTCTCAACTTCTACACTTTTCCCCACATTTCCATTCTCTACAACATCACTTGTTTTCTTAGCATCCTCATGCACCTCCTCTTCAATTTTCATCCCCTCATAAGCTGGTTCTTGATCAAGGCTAACTTCAACAACATAGAACCTAAGAGACCCCTGTGCACCACTTGATGATTCAGCTAACCTTAGTTCATTGTTGGTAGTAATTGTAATCAAATCACCTTCCGGGTCCCTGTACTTCATAAGGACACCGTTCAAGCCAGGAAACCTATCCCGAACTATGTCTCTTAGTAATACAATGCTACAATTTGCAGGTAATCGTGCCATTCTAATATCCTCCCCAAACACCAGCTTCACTGTCTTGTCTATCACTTTCTCCTCCTTGACATCTTTGGTAACCACCTTTTCTTCCTCAATAGTCTTCATAACTACCTCTTTATCCTTAACAACAGGACTCACCTTCTTCTCCCGCACAACTACCTTATCCTTATTCTCTACCTTCTTCTCTTCTACTTTACCACCAATTTTCTTCTCCTCCCCTTTACCACTAATCTTCTTCTTCTTCTTCTTTACCTTTTCTTTCACCACTTTACGCAAGCGTGCCACCCCAGTTTCGTCCACGTTATCCAACCCAATTAATTTCTCGTCAAAACTAATACCCCTTTCACTCATTGCCTTCTTAACGCTCTCCAATATCTCCAACCCCGTCATATTATTAGGTTCCATACTCAATACATTATTAACATCCCTAAAAGCCAAATCCAATCTATTCAGAGCCTCATAACACCTAGCTCTTTTCAACAAAGCTTTACTATATTTTGGCACAACCTCTAAAGCTAAATTACATTCATTGATTGCTCGAGGATACTCACCAAGACCCATTTGCATGTAGCAAGCAGCCATGTTGGTGCGTAGATAAGCCACATCAATATGGTTTCTTGGTAGTAGCTTGAGGGCTTTTTCGTACTTCAGCATGGCACCTTCATGATCTCTCCTTTGAAAGAGCTTGTTGCCTTCTTCTTTGAGCTCTTGAGACATGTTAATGAAAATCGCCGTGTCTTCATCAAAGGCCTTTGAGGATTTGGTTTGCCTCATGTCACCGGTTGTTCTCGGTGATGCCGGCGGCGTTGCTGTTCCCGGATTCTTCTTTTTACCAGTTGGCTTTCCCATTAGATTACAAATTTAGAAACTTCACAGGAATCCAATAAAACCCTTTCCAAAATCAAAGCTTCAGTGTTAACTTTGATTTTGATTTTGTTTTTTAATCAAAACCCCCTTTGCTAATAATAGAAAAAAGATAACAAAAACAGAAGAGAAAATAGAGAATCAAGAAAAAGAGGAAATGGGAATCTGATTAAAACATTCAAAAATCGAAGCTTTAGTATTAGCTCTGATTTAAAAAAACTAATAATAATCAAAACTCACAAACTAAATAAACAAAAGCCAAAAACCCGAGAATCGAGCAAGAACTTGAGAATTCCAAATTGGAATCTAAACGAACTTTATATATTCAAAACAGGAGCAATGAAGAAAAAAGACACAACCTTTATTACTCTTTTGTCATAATTTCAGACAGACTGTGTGTTTTAACGGAGAGGATTTTGGTTACAGAGACAAAATGTGAAAAAAAGTCGGACATTGCATTCACTTACAAGGTGTTCTCGTTTTTTTTTTTTTCCGGGTAAACTATATCTTAACCCTGTAAAATTTACAAACTCTCCACTTTAGTCTATAGTTTAAAATTTTCTAATATTAACAATAATTTTCAAAATTTTAGGATATTTTCTTGACATTTAAAATATTTAATGTAAATTTTAATACCTAGTATTTTTTATAGTTGAGGAGTCATTCTCAAACACCTCTAATGAGCATTTAAGAACCCTAAATCCATCTCTTCGTATTCTTTATATACAAATTCAATTTTATAATGATTGAAAAATATCAAAAACAAATATTTTAAGATTACAAAACCCCAAAATTTAAAGAAAATACCTATCTTCGTAATGGTAATGACATGAAAAGATGATGGAAATACTAAAAATAAAAATCTCGTGGATATAAAGTTTTATTGATGAGTAAGTTTTCATGATTATTATATTTAATAATATTTTAAAAATAACCTAGTTTTATATTATTTTAAATTTTTTAAATATCTATATTATAAAATTCTCTTCTATAGAAATTTGAAAGAAAATAATTTCCTGAGCTATTTAACAATCAAGGGTTAATAGTGGGAAAGTCAAGAAACAAGGGTTGAAAGTAAAACATTTCTGAAACTATAAGGGCTGAAGTATAGTTTACCTTTATTTCTTCTCTCCTAGGGTTTCGTGCTCATTCTCTAGGAAGAAAACGCAAGTCAACGTGTTTCAGGAGAGACGCTATCTTAGCCGCTAATACTTCCCAATTTGGAGAGTGGAATAACGCGCCACTTGCATAATGCTAGACAACGTGGGGTTGTGGTGGTGTTATGGGCTGGCAGCATTGCTTTCCAATTCATTTTTGCCCTACCTAGAAAGATTGCGTTGGATTTTTTTCAATTTCTGGGCAGTGCTCGAGAAAGAGGGTGAAAATATTTTTTAAT